TGATCGTGAACCGCGATCAAAGGCGGTGAATGAGTGGCACCCCTATCTCTCTATCGGCCTTCGCGTAGGTTATGTGTCTATGTCTTTACGCAAGAACCTGTGTAACTGTGTGACTATTGGAAAATCAAACTCCCGAATCGCATAGTCAATCATGACTTGAACAAATGTTACCTAGCATTGGAAGGCCATTGTGAAGCACTCGTTTTGTGGATGGATTGCGATGCGCAATCTCAATATTGACCGCGATCCGCAAGGAAGTAAACCCTGGCCAATTCGAGCATTGGGATCGTAACTGAAGAAGCAGATAAGCGGTGACCCAGTTACCCTGTGTCACTCTGGCCTTTCGCGTATTTTGTGTGGGTGTGGGCGAAACTATGCGGCTGTTACAATTTGTCGCCAAAGAAAGGGGAGTAAGGCGATTGGATGATGTTCAGACCATATTGTGCTTACGCAAATGCAACCGAACTGTGCAAGCAGTGGACGATTGTGCAATCCCTTTTCTAGACTATAGGTGCAGTTCAATTTGATCAAAGACAGTGACCCAGTTTTTCCCTGTCACTCTATGGGCCATCGCGTATTTTGTGTGCGTGGTGTGTGGGCGAACCTATGCAGCTGCACAACCTTGTAGTGCACGGGACGACCAAAATGAGCGAAGAGTGAGGGGAGAACGTATCTCGGAAGTTGCAGCGGTACAAACGAAGGTCTTCGATCGAGAATGAGATTCTTACTAAGCTTGTGTTCATCGATGGCAAAACCACTTACGGAGCTGTTGAACTCGCCGACGTCAACGAGAGCACGGCAAGAAGCATCAACATTGCTTCAACTGTCCGATCTCAAGGTAAATGGGATTTGAAGCGTATCGCTTGCGCTTTAAGCTTCGAGAGTCGAGTGGTGAAGTATTGGAACAAACTGCCGACGCGAAATCCGTGTCGGAATGTAAGATTATCCGATGCCCACTTTGCGGACTGCAGGTATAAAGAGCGTATCGCACCCAGATAAGATGTGGTGCAGCTGTAATATGTTGCCACTACGCAGGATCAGCGACATGAATCCGTGCAGGCGCCTAATAGAACTACGACGGAGCAACACAGAACTACATCTTCTCGCTCTCCAACTTCAGTATCCCGTATTCAGAACGTCGGCATCAGTGGGTGGTTCGAGTGACGCGACCTATGGCGTACGACTAGGCGAGCTGAGTGCGAAAATGGATGGCGGGGAAGAACTGAATTGAGATTGGAAAATGCTCAATGCGTCTGTAGATGGGTCACTGCAAGTCAGTGATTTGTGACCCATCCGGTTCTGAGTATGTGAAGCGCCGCCTAAAACCGACAGGTGACCTACGAGTGATAGTGAGCGCGGACGGACAGCTTTGAGCTTAAGCACTGGGCGTGTCCGCATTGGCGGTGCACTTCGCTCCCGTGTTCATAAATAACCAGGTGTAGGTATCGAGTTCGGCGTGCACCGCCGACAGTGTGGATTGTGGTGTGGTAGAAATCGGTCAACTACTCGTCAATCTTGACGGCGATGACGACCAAGGTGGGCGAAACCGCGAGGTAGCCAGTCCATGAAGTGGCATGGAAGCATGGAGAAATTGACTGAGAGACCTGGTCAGGCTGGTGAATAGGTCCCCGGAATAGTCCACACCGATTGTTGGAGACCCTTTCACACTTGGCACAGTCAGCGGCGTTCCTGCATTCGGTTTCTTGCATTGGGTGGTAAATGCTCGTTCCATTCTGATTAGTCAAACGCACCTACCTGTTTCTATTTTCTATGAATCCAATTTGCATGCAACCCCACTATTTTGTCGTTGTTATTTATCGGCATTCTTGTGATGTGAGTCGTGGCAACCGGATCCACCGCACCTCGGTGCCCGGGTCAAAGTTGTTCAACTGAACAAAACTGCGCTAGCTGTTGAGATTCGTCAACACTAGCTTGGACTACATTCTACACGAAATTGCTGACCAACTAATTCTACATGCTATTTATTGAGACGCAAGGTGACAGCAAGAATGTCGATCTTGATCAAACATCGCCCCGACGGAGGTCAGAGCAAATTAACTGAGCGAGTGGGTATTATTGGCATGGGTCGTTGTAATAAAGGCAAAACACGGTGAAAGGTTAGAAATCCCGTGAGAAATAGCGGTCTGTGTAGGCGTGAGTAAGTTCGTAGCATCCGTAGTGGACACGTGACTGAGGGTGGTGGCGTGACGGTGAAGCGTCGGTACGGAGTACCAGCGTACTACTGATGCCTTCTTTTTTAAGAAATGATGCATGCGATAAGATGGCGTTCTCACACCCAGTATTAAGTTAAACAGGCACAACTTTGATAGGCGGTATTTCTCAAGAAATTTGCTTGATGTTTATGTACTGTATTTGTTTTTTTCTCTTTAAAAGCTCCTATGTAGAGCATCTTGCCAATAAACTCAATACGTTTACAGAAGACAACTGTTCAGCTAATGTATTGGTGGATAGTTTATTGTGCACTATCAAAGGCTGGATGATGAATGGCTCCCTCTGAGTGACTTCAAAGCGCACTACTGATTGGAGACAAGACGAAACTAATGTCAGTACCTGAGTGCTCAGGTTAGACAGTGAGAAATAAAAGTTAGTGACTAACACCACAGTTTCATCATGAGGAATTGTCGAAAACCGTAGGTGCGTCACTCTTTTGTCCACTGACTCGCTACCGTCCACACCGAATCAGACAGCCTTATGGTTGATTGTAATCGCAGGTACATCAACTGATACGGCCGAAAAGCATACGAATTGCTCGACCGTTGGCATATCAACCAGACCGCAAGGGGCACTGTAGTTTCATTCATCAGCTAAAACCATACTCAAATGCCATATGGAACAAGGAACTAATGGACTCACAGTGGTCCCCAAAGAAAAGCTGCTGCCGTATCAGTGGATCTTTTCTAACAAAATTCCACTCGGAATGGTTAGCCAGAAAGTGTCGTGAGTTATTTTGAGCTGTTTCATCATAAAGATACTCGAGTACGAGTATCGAAATGTGAATACCTTGAGATTCAAGAGGGTAGCTGAAAGAAAATTGTGCCTCAGTTAAATATGAAACCTTTTTTACGTTTCCAAATATTGAAGTAAACGCATGGTCTTGCATCGGTGGTGAACCCCAGTTGGTTATAAAAATTATATATATATATATATATATATATATATATATATATATATATATATATAATGGCTAGGTATTACACATCAGTGGGAAGATTAAGGGTAATTAACTTCCATGGGTCCCAATAAATGGCGCCCTGCATGTGGTTCAACTTAGAGCGTACAACGCAGGTTGCTTTCTATGGTGCCGTTGGTCGCCCACGATACCTGATGCGCGGGGTTGTTAAGACATTTAAGGAACTCATTAAGCGTTAAAATGAACAAGAATGAGGGAAAATTACCGTCATTGATGACGTAATTGCTCAAGCGGATGGCCAATGGAAAGTCCGTTTCGAGACGGATAGCTACGGGACTGACAATGAAGACCGGGTTATGCAACCACGTACCGATCACAAGCCATGCAAACTGACAAAGTAAGAGACCCGCAGACAAGTAGGAGCGTAAATCCATGACATGCAGCTAGTGTGCGAGTAAAATGACCCGGTGCGGTACTGCGTCCAGAGTTGAACTCGGACTAAGAGCACTACCAAGGTCGTGGCATAAGCATATCGGGAGCCTACTGCAGTGTGATATGTCGGATAGAGTGGCAAGGCAACCCAAAGACGACGCGAAGAAAACTGATGTAAAAAATTGATAGTAAAAGCGAATCGGACTGGGGGTACCGGATAGGTCACATCAGTGGTTAAATACTTTGGTGGAGTTTGTGCAAACCCGAGACCAACAGTACCCCAACTGTCAAATCATTTTGTACTTTTGACATAAAGTATTCCTCTTCGGTTGCATGCCAATGTCGAGTAGAGCAACCGCAGCCGTTGCACTTGAGTGTTCGGATAATAGCAGTGGAATAAATGAACAGAACTAAGGAAAAGCAACTAATCACGTAAGATAGATTGCCTGATACATTCGCAAGAATTTCATTGATGATGGGGTGATATTGGAGTAAAGATGAACGCATGCGGCCTGTAAAGTCCAAACAGAACTTGTTAATATTCAGCCAAACTGGTTCATCTATTGAGGATATAATATCCTTTCATCCCAAACCTTTCATTTATATTCTTGCAGAAATGTTCCATGTTTGCTATAAACACTTGAATTATGAAACACTTTACGTGTTCACCTGGTATTTTCGGCATCCACTTGACTCCTCAAGGTCAAACATTTCATCCTTGACAGTCTGCCGATTAGCAAATTGCTACGCTGTACCATTCTCCCAAGCCGCCGCACATCTTCCAGTTTCTGCCCTTTCCCATTACGATTGCAAACCTATTCGTAAGTTGATTACTGTATTTAATTTGTATTATGGAAACAAGGTAACAGGAATACATGTGTTAATTTCTTTGTCCAAACCGTGTGTACAGTATGAGTTTACAGTTTCCTTGTCCCATCTTGTGCGATTACCTAGTCTTTACACGCCCTATGAAGAACGTGGTTAGATGTTAGTGAAAGGCTGAAAGTTTGAATCACGCCATATAGTCTCCCGTGTTTGTTCAGTGGAATTGATTCCGGAAAAATATGTTTGCATAGTCAGGTTGTGTCGGACGACTCCTACACATTTGAAAAATTGGAGTACACAGGTACCATGTGGGGGTGATCTGTTGCCACACAAGTAGAGGCATTTGGGCGCAGGCTTGGGGATTGCAGGGGGGTTCCAACCTAGGGACGCGAACCCAGAGCGTAGGGATTTGCAAGGCACACGTTCGAACGTATATGTCAATGGGAACAGCGCGAAAAAGCTCGGCTAATCAAAAGTAAACGGTGCAGGCCACAGTAAGCCGGTAGCAACTTACGGATTGGGGGTGATCCCAAAGAAAACCATGAGAGAGAAGTAAGCTGCATTGCAACTAGTAACACGTAACAACACTCACCGATTTTACGGAGATCTTGGCGCAAGACGCATCGGCTGCCGCACGACAACCAGGACAGGTTAGATGGCCGGGAGTATCCTCTGATTTAGAAACCATAGTATCTCGTACATCTGCAGCCTGTTCTGAAGACAATTTCGATTCGGATCTCGTTGAGTGAGGAGCAGGAGACTGAAAATGGGGGACAAAAAGGTCAAGATAGTTATGAGAGAGTGGAATTATGGGACCTGAGTGACAATACAGGTACAGAAATAGGAGAGTTGTGAACGTTAACATTACAAGTTACGATCGTTAGACAAAGTTGAGAGGTTGGAAGATAGATCGCCAGACGTAAACAGGTGATGGGGAACGAGAGATGGCTAGTGTTAAATTAAAGCGAAACGACTAGGATGTGGGATAACGGAACATTCGGCATACTTAATGTCTTCAGTGCGCAGCGACTGTCTCGGAGGCACAAAGTGACACAGATTTAAAGGCGACGCACCACAGCTTACCTATGATATCCCTGTCTACAAGAGGGAACGAACTTCTCGAAAGCGAGTCGGGTTATCCTGACTCGTTTATACATTTCAGTGGCACATACATTCAATAAGAGAACAGATTAACCGCTTCTAGTGATTAGCTATTTCTACATAGATGCGAACACCCCTGACTCAACAGTGATAGGGCTGTTTCCCGCATAGTGGGGTGGATGGCTCGCTACAATGTCTGGTACAGATGACCACGTCAACCTAGGTGGGTGTGGAAGCCTAGAAACATTATCAAACAGCGAAAGTGCCTGGCAACTGAAAGGAGAATAGCATAGACAAGTTGTGCGTACAAGAAACAGTGAGACTGTGGGCTAGAAACATAAGGAGCGGTAAAGGGTAGGCGGACAAGAGTGGAGGCTGACTCAACTACATCAAACGTGCGAGCGCGCGAGGAAAGCAAACAACATACCGGTGTCTTTGTGTTTGCAGCAACAACAGCAGCTGAGGCTTCTGCTAATGCAGATCGAACCAGGGCTATTTCTTCTTCACTAGACTTCAAATCGTTTTTAACCTATAAGTAACAAAGGAGAGTTCGGAAAGCATTAGATAAACACTTAGAAATCCTATTAACGTGGAACGATGGATTATTAAGGACATCATGCGTGAAACCTAATCGGTTTCCGTGAAATGGGGAAGATAGAGACGACGGTTTCAAGGAACAGAGGATACTAAAACATCAGCTAAGGGGAGAGAATTGCAGATATCCAGGTAAGCTATTATGGGATTGCCTCTCTCGGAGCTTCTTGTTAAAGTGCTCTGCTTTGCACCTGGTTTCCCCGAATTGGAGTCACGCTCAGCTTTACCCGGCCGGTGGCCGAAAAAATAAGGCGACTGCATTGGACCCAAAGGTCGTCGGTCCGATCCCGCGTAAATGTGAGAGAATTCGCAGTATCCATAGCCCGCGCGCGGCCGTTAGTGGCCGTGTGGCAGCGAAACGGCGGTACGACGTGTCGGCGTACAGCTGACGGCTTGTTATCGGATGGCAAGTCGCCAATAAGTTATAAAACAACCGGAAAACAGCACAAGAAACATGCGTATGGACGGGTCAAAACGGCTATCGCTAAGCTTTAAGAACCGACCTGTTGGACCAACGGGAAATGCGATGGGGTACACTGATTAGGTGGGAAGGCTGGTTGCACGCGTGTACATACGCACACAAGTGTACAAGCTGTTGCACGGTGGAAGAAAAGTGGGACCACTAAGTCATTGCGATGTTGAACTGAAGAGTGAGTATGATGCAACATCATGAACATTCGTGCCGAAAATACGCTGAACATGGCTTAAAACATACCGCAAAAAATAGTTTCATAAGAAGTGTGTGTCACAGTAGTATACCATAACCAGGTCTGCACAGATTCAATATAGTGCATCGGAAATACCCTGAGGCGTAAGCCTCATGGGCTTGGAGATGTGCAGGTTGCTGTACGTGTATAATCAGGATACACTGCAATACAAGAACTCAGTCAAAATTTGACAAAACAAAACAAAAACACTTCAGTCTTCGATAACAAATATACAAATAAATCGTCAGCTGTACGCCGTAACGGAGCTTCGCTGCCGCGTGACCACCACCAGTCACCCGTGGGCTGAGTATACTGCGAGGACTCCTGATCCTATGTGGATTCGAACCGGTGACCATATGATTGCAAGCCAGGCGTGCAGACCACTCGGCCACTGGCCGACAGTAACGATGGTACTGAAGGGTCCACCCAACGACGGGTTTCGTACGTGTTTGCACCAGTCAGGTAGAGACAGCAGAACTGCAACTTAATCCCGGGATATGGAGAATGTTGACTGACGCTTATCACAGTGGCTAATGATCCACTGCATGGTATTCAAACGACTCAATAATAAGTGGCCCAAGAGGTGGGCATTGTCAATGCAAGAATCTCGATACACACGACCCAACCACCGTCACTGCAAAGACAGTAACAATGTCTAGCAGTAGTAGTAGTAGTAATAGCAAAAACAACAAATGTTACTACACGTAATCACAACTGCTGCTCTCTCTGTGTATGAAACTGTATTTGTATCGCCCCTGGTACATACTGTTATGTTGGTGACAGCGTACATCAGTCGGCGGATGGTGTTTATTCAAAACTGAACTGAAAATGCCGCAGCAAGACCATTAGTCAATTGCTGGCCCGTTTATCGGAGAAAAAATCATTTCAGTCACCATGGCAGCTGCATTAACAGCGTGGTGTGTGACCGTCGAAATTAGACAAAGCGTTGCAAAAGCCAGAAACGCCTCTACAAATTTGGGACATTTCTCGTGTCCAAAGAATATGTGCACATACTGCCAGAAGAAGCAATTGTTACCAAACGTTAAGTTGCCGGAAAGTCCTCCATTATGGCCTAGTGGCATTAAAGTGTTTCTCTCACTGAGATGACCGGTGATAATGAGCACAGTTCGTTGAAACAGTAAATAAAGCAAATTGGGCTAGCTTGGTCACTTGCTACAGGTACACGCTCGTAGTTTATTAGGGGTTAAGCTTTGCTTGTTTGCTTGATGTTGAGAATCGTGAGTTACGAAGAGATAATTGCTGTATTTGAAGAGAAGAAGGAAGCCATTGAGGACTAGACTGGTTGCTGGTGAGCCGTATTATCTTCCAGATAAGTGTTTGTGATCGACACAGTGCTTGGCATTACATTGTGAGGTATCGCATGCACTCGAGATCAGTGATGTGTTTGTTATCATCTTGGTTATGTTATCGGTGGAATAGGGTCGATCATGATGCGGAGATATGAATATTGCGAGGGCTGACTGGATGACGCCGATCAAAATGCCCACGACAGTCAGCGTCCTGCTCGCGTAGTATTGACCCAGTGTAAGCATATTGACCCAGGTTTGTTCTGTGCGCTTAGGCCGACTTCAGTAGTGTTGATATTTTGAGTCCCATTGCTTTTCTTTGTCCTGCTTAGTCTATCCCTCCAACTACGATGGCATTTTGGATGCATGATAAAAAAAGCGGCGCGACAGTGGAGGTGTTTTTCATCTCTAGCTAGCGTGTAATATGACGATTGTGAGACATCCTTATTTCCATAAGTGTTGCGGCGAAGTAAGATACGAGGAATTGTTTATGATGCCAGAAGTCAAACACTTTCCTGCAGCCACACTTGATGTACATTTGTACGTAATAACCAGCGTGCTCCTTTGAGAGCACAAGACGCCATGCAGATAGAGTGGAATGCCGCAATAGTTGTTGGGCGACAGGCAAAGCATACTTAAGATCCGCCTGCATCGCAGCATGTTTCGTGAAAGTTCACTCACTGAAACATGTTTGTAGACTTGTGCGTAGCACTGATTGGTCAGTGTGAATATTCGGTTAATGAAACCACAGGGCGTAAGAACTGCGCTGGTTCAGCTCTGATCACTATCACATAACACCTACAGCGGCTACTGGGCCTTGAAATTCGAGTACTAAATGAGGTAGTATACCTATAAGAGGCGATGGAATTCTCTAAATTCCCACAATAGTGTATAAAGTACACTGAAGGACATTAAAGTCGCTTACGACGCACTGCGAACCAGGCCCCTGAAGCCGCAATGATGATGTTGCCTTGTCAGGCAACGAAACGTCTGCACAATAATCATTTAGCTCGGAGAACAGCTCAAAATCCGCATAAAGTACCAAGTTAAGCAAGAGGATATCTGCAAGTCACAAACAGTTCCCCACGCGCATAGAGCAACCGAGTGATTTCGCATTCACAGATTTGTCGAATTTTGTATTGCCCTGAACAGCATCAATCCCATTTGACGGTACAACTTGTCGGTGAGAAATAACTTTTTATCGAAGTACTACCCTCTCACAGTTAGGGTCAATAATTTGCATAGATGCAGCGTTATAAGCGGCAGAAATGAGCAGTGGATTCTTCGGCAGCGGGTATACAGATACATTATACTTTCAGCTTTACAAGGCACACTGGGAACTGTACGATTTTTGCAGCATACGTGACAGTTTTGGGCAGAAGCGAGGGAGACGTAACGGAAACTTGACTAAGGCGGTGTAAATATGCTCGTTTAGAGAGATATGTCAGGATATATACGTAAATAGCTGCGTTATGTGGTGGTTGCTTAGGTGGCCAGTCGGAATAGCACGGCTCAACTGCCAGAAAGTAAGCTAACAAGTTTCCCTGATGTCCTATGAAAATCGGGTGTTGTGACCCTACTGACCTCTTGTCATGCGCTACTGTATCCCCGGTTGCTAAGTAAGAGTTAGCAGTCTTGCTTTAGCTACCATTCAGTTCACAAGCAAGCGCATACAGTTTTCTCAAGGTGTGCTATGCGGCTCAAGAATGCTGCTCCAGAGGAATGTTCCACAGCGAAATAGCTTAAGACTACGGTTGTGCACGGCGTTACAACGCGGGGACGAATCGAAAGCGTGAGTGGACCTACGATTGGACGCGCGAGCAGCTGACAAAATTTGGTGCACACTGACAGCAAGGGTGGTCCTGTGATTGACGGTGCTGGCATCTGACAAAATTTAGCACACCTCGTGATGCCAACAGGCCTTTGTCTGGTCGCGAACAGACGACCAAATATAGTGAATCGGGGAATACGAGGATAACGATCCAGGCTGAGGCACAGACGAATGGAGGATCGGAATGCCCATGTTGTGAAGCATTTGTGATCTACAAAGATAGTCGATATACAGCGCAAAATATACGTGGTCAGATGAGTCTTGACTATTTGCTTTGTTATTATTATTTGAAGACAGCAATGACATCATTACGGTTGCATGCACGGTAAGTTGAAAGAAATTAAAGCATTCCTGCTGCATAAACGGAGAGACTTTTTGGCACAATCTGTTAAACACCATCCGAGACGCTGATCTCGGTCGAAGATAAGTCGTAAATGCGGAAAGTATCGAGGCAGCGCTGACCTTCATCCCCTATAGACTGTCGCAGAAGTTAAACATTGTGATATCCGAAGCAGTTGTAACCTCAGGTGATCAAAGAAGCCTTATCGCAACCTAATTCAAGCAGTTTTGAAGGGTTTGGTTGTGTGGAGCAAGAGCGCAGTCGCGACCGTACATCTAAACCTAACATGTTAACTTTATCACCAAATAATAATAATGATGTGTCAGCCGTAGGCCGTAAGGGCGCTTCGCTGTCACGCGACCACCACCAGTCGCACCTGGACTGAATATACCGCGAGGACACCCACCCCTACGCGGATTCGAACCGGTGACCTTATGCTTAGAAGCCTGGCGTGCAGACCACTCGGTCACCAGCCAACATAAGCAGTTTAAATGTATCAGAAACGCATGCCCTGTCTGGCTTGTAAACCAAACGGTAGAAAGAATACGTGTGAACAGGAGAAGGTGAAATTAATCACTGATCAGGATTGGTCATCAATCTTCGAGGTGTACGCGTGCTAACAGTCAAGTGATGTCTGACCCAGGCAGTGAGTTAGCGTTCCGCAGGTTACCATTTGTGTGAAGAAGTGACAACGATTGTAAAAAACGTCGTGCCTGATGTGTTATCTCACCTAGGACGTTTCGCAATAATCAGCGGTGTCGTACTACCTTACTTACTCACAGCTTGCGTAACCAGATTTCGCGATAGCGTAATTGACGCGATGCTAAAGTCACACCTATCAGAAACTACACCACGCACTGTTAGCTTTTGAAAGATGAGAACCAATCAAAATCCTAAGGGAATGTTACTGTAGATACTTATTACTTGTATAGCAAGATTGCACATTTCGTTTGTATTTAAATTGTTGAAAACGTAACCAAATCTAGCACTCGTGTAAATGGTCTTTCTAATGCGCAACCTCAGGGATTCACCATCTAATTTCTCGATCATATTATATCTTTGCAACTAACAAATGTTTCACATTTTCCACATTTAACACCCAGAGATTACTGCGAAGCTGCATCAAGTAAATAAATAAATAAATGGTATATTTCCCGATAAAGCGAGAACAGTCAAGCTCAGTGATCTGCTCAAATAGATACAGCGAGAACGCATAAACTAAATGACTGAACCATTTTTGGTGCCGTTTGTAAATGAATTTAGAGTAAAATGAAGTTGAGTGTATCAAAAAGATTTAGAAATCGAGAACAAGAACAAACGGAGACAAGTAAAATGACACGGCCACCCGTGGAACTGTCTCCTGGGGACCGGGTTCCTTTCAGGGTATTCCATCGAGAGGGTTCATTCGCAGTTTTATGTGACAGGGCGGCCTCATAGCAACGCTTTTACACTAAGTCATCCAGGTCGTAATATTATCCGGCTCAGTTCGAGCATGGTGTAGGTTATTTTTTGCGCCAGTGTACTAGTAGCAATATGCCTTGCATCGAAATAATTATTAGTCTGGAAGCATCAATCCATCACCTCAAGAGATCAGCCCAGCAGTGGCCAAAAGAAAAGGAAGGAATATAAACATGAGGAAGTAAAAACAATAATGACAGATAAGTCAGCTATCGATGAGACACCGTTTATCACACTTGGAACACTGTCACATTAGAGCTCAAATTGAAGAAATGGGAGTGAAACCAACCTTAGAGTCTGGCAGAGAACCGACAAAGACAAGAGGCTCCGTTTCTAGAAGATAAACTATGTTAACTAACAGCGTTCAATCATCGGCGACACAAAACTTTCCAAAACCTAAGACGAACACACATATTTTTCATTCGTTGTACGGCATGATTATATGTTTGCCTATGACAATGTATGCGAAACAAAACACTTCATCGTGGTCAGTCCTTTTAAATGGGATGCAATTTTCGAAGTCGATAAGGTGGTATGAATAGTAGGTGAACATCTTCACGGAGAGAACATGTCTTATATCAGCAGAGTCAGAGGAGCACACTGCAAGGAACCAAAATAATGCCAGCTAAATTAATGTTGTAGATACATAACTAGTTCACAATACAATGTAAGACTAAATAAAATGAGCAAGGTTGTCGACAGTTCCGGGGGGAAGTACACAAGATTGGACGTCATAGCTAAATGAAGCAAAGCACAGGATTTTGACATAGAAGTCCAAGTAGGTAGCTCAAGGAGTTAATTTGTTAGACGTATCGCTCCGCTCTACTACACGCTAATGCAATGATGATATCACCTAGGTTAGTGACGAAACATTTGTAGTAAAATTGTTAAGCTCAGTGAACAGTTTGTCTAACAGAAGCGCATATAGGGCGGTGACGTGTGAAATGTCGGGAGGTTTAATCAAAAGTATTCACATCATCGACGTGCTGTTAGCGGAAGCATACGTGAGAGAAGCTGACGGAAAAATGTTAACCTCACCTAAAGCATCTTAGAGGGCAAGACGAGGGGGAAAAGGCAGATCCAAGCATTTCATGTCTCTAGATGTAACAGGCCCCCGCTGAACCCGTACACAATGCTTGAAGGAGATTAGTTACGACAGGATACTGTTGTTGATGGCAGTCACGAGGCTGGTGGGTACAATACACACATGCGAATAAACAAATTCTCACCAGTTCCAAATCCTGACTGACTTCCTTGCACTTGCGTCGATAGCGAGCGATTTCGGCTTTGAGCTGTTTGTTCTGAGTCTGCAACGTGGAGATGAGGCTGCGCATTTCACTGCTGATCGGACCAGCCTGTTCATTGTGTGCCAAAGCTTGTTTGAAATCCAGTTCCATCGTCTCATGTGCTCGGCGAAGTTGGGAGTACTGAGTTTCGATGTGTAACATTTCGGATCGCATCTGATTTTGAATAGCAGCTTCGTTTACCTGACCACATGATGGAAAAGGTGATAAAAAGGGTAAATGCGAACAAAGTGAAGCATTACAGTCGATCTTTAGTAGCGAGAATCAAAAGAAATAGGAGTTCGCTCCCAAAAATGTGCTCCATGATCGGGTTCGTGCCTGCTTAAATAGGGATAACTGGAAGTTCACGGCTGAAGCCTTTATCACTAGGCTATTGACCGTCATGCCGGAGATGGTATTGAGTGCGGTGCAGAGTACATGAAAACACTGGATTAGGTTCCAGATGAAAGGTCTTTGGAACTCAGAGAGAGCTTCGGTCATTAACAGGTCGGAACAGAACCAACCTCGAAGGAACGGTGTATTGTGGGATATAATAACTGTTAGTTTGATTCTTAGGGTTATGCGAGAGATAAGTGAATGTCGGATGAAGCACATGTACCAAGGTGAACGAAGAAAAGGCTTACGAGATAAGGGGCGAAGCGATAAACCAATCAAAGTACCACTGTTTGGTAGTAGAGGTGGATGTGAAATGTACAACTTAATTCGGAAGAACTAACAGGGGGTAAGAGAAGCGACGGGGACATCCTGACAAGCTAACTTATTTAAGCTAGTTTCAAATATAAAAGAAACACACAGAGAGTCTCACCTCCATCTCCTCTATGTGCTTTAAGTGGCTGTGACGTATGCTTTGAAGGGCTGATCGTGCCTCGTCCAGTTGCGTTTTCAACTGACCAGCTTCACTGTACAAAATGTTGAATTTCGTCTTCAACGAAATATACTGAGGTGATTCGAGTATTTGGTTCTCAGAAACCTCACGAATCTATAAATAGACAAGAGAGAAAAAGATGTACCTAGACTTTCGATACAAAGGGTGGAACGTGCAGGTAAAGTCGGGGAAAAAGAGCTATTAATTTGTTGGGTGACTGTTCTGAGTGAAAACGAATCTAGCTACAGCAGAGAAGGTGAAACAACAAAATTGGTGAAAAATAAGGAGAAACACACACCCCGATCAAAACCAACCTGCATTGAGAGGGTTTCATTTTCGCCTACTTTCTCCGCGAGCTTCACTTGCAAACGCTCTAATTCTGAGGTTCGACTGTTCACAAGTTCCCGGAGCTCCTCCAGCTCACAAGCGAGATCGCAATATTTGTTTTTATTCACAGTCCCACCACCGATAGTGATGGATGGAAGATCATCAGAGTCTGGATGATGTACGACAGACAAGAATAAACAAGGTGTAGTAGGCTAAACATGTGAGAGTGTGGAAAAGCTACTATGAATACCAGAATGCCAACTAAAAACATAGGAACTCATAGTGTCAAAGCATGCGATAAGGAAGAATGGGACAAAGAACAAAAACGCGGTTTGGACATCGAACGGACAAAAACGCACAATGGCACATAGGAAAACAGGCGCGGCAATGTTGTACGCATGACGAGTCAGATGTACACAGAAACCAGGGGGAGACATCGGTTTCCGATTTTGGCTATCAATGCCGCTGGGAGTGCGAATAGCAACAGGTCGGAAGTCCAGAGATTGACCATCAGCAGCTTACAATGAACCACTCACAGAGCTAACGCAAGAAAGAAATGAGGACGGGGGGAAGGGAGGCACAACTGATTCCCAGTCGGCTCATAAGCAACCAACATGAAAACCCCTGGTAAAGAAACGTCCAGTGATAATAACCGATCTTTGAGCTCAGTACTGTCAAGAAAAGTTTACGTCGTCTTCTCTGACAACGATTACCAGTACCCTGAAACCATTAGTCGAATGGTAATGTGAACCGGATAGGCACCTGATCTGCACTCGCTTCGAGCGCAACCAGAGTTGGCACACAAATCAGTGATGAACCTCAACCATACACACACACACACACACACACACCAGACATGTGGCCAGAGTGAAGTGATAAGACATAACATACGTCTCGCCAACTACAGCACCGGCGATTGTACGTCGCTTGCCGAATAATTGCGCTGTCATCAAAGCTAATGGAAGTGTACATGTGAAGACTGTGTAACTCCTTGGTCTCAAAATCGGTAAAAAGTAACACAACCTTCATGGTGAGGAACTGCAGGTCTGAAAAGATCAGAAAAATTATGAGCTGGAGACCACCATAACTAGCAATGAGCACATTGAAATGAATGAAATGACATATGTAATAGCCCATCCGTGCGGCGTGTCGGATGCTAAAGAGACGAATGTAAATGTGATCAGAAGTTAATCTTGGCTTTTGGTTTCGCAAACATCTGAGGACGGCAAAGTACAACACATGAAGGCTCATATCAATGAGAAGGATAAACAGTTCACTATGTGGATTGATGTTCGCCCATACACACATTTTCATTTGTGCCACTTATTGAGATACCGCCATGTCTATCGATGACCCACACAAATCGTGTTCTTGGATATCAGAGGTACCTTCGATCGAGTGGATTGATGTGGGCTTTTGGAATGTTTGATCAGAAAATTGTGCCCGGGAAATACGTAGGTAGTATAAAGGTGCTTCACGCGCATAACTCGGGTAGAGTGAGGGCTTAAGATAATCTGGCGCTGAGACAAGGATTGTCGCTGTCACCTTTCCTTTTCAACTCCGCTACCGTGTTCACACGACACGACTAGAAAGATGTGTGATCGGGTTGAAATATACTGAGGATTTTTATTCTCGTCTGTGACATAAGTGTTAGGTAGCACTGAACAGATTAGCAATGGTAGTTTTGAACTGTTCAAACGCAGTCTTCCTAACATGGTGAACAGGGATCACCTCCTGTGCTGATCTTTGGTGGCTATAAGCTAAAACTCGTTCGGAATTCAATAACCTGGGGAGCGTTAGTTGCGTTCGGCCACTGGTGGTTGGATTATGTTAAGCACGCCAGCGCATCGAGGACTGCGGCCGGCCCGAAGTGTTAAGGATCCGAGGGCGCGGGTTCAAGACTGCATGAGAACCGGGCGACCCTCGCAGTATCCTTAGCGCACGTGCGACTGGTGGTTGTTGCGCGGCATCGAAGCGTCGGCATTGCGTACCGTTGATGTCTATTTTGCCGAGTACTACGACGTAACTCCAGCGCGGTCTCGAAGGATGACGAGGAGAGGCCAGCTGATGACTTGGTTACCTTGAACTTGGCCTCGTTTAGTGTATCATGCCCCAGAGTCTGAGTTTGCAAGAGGAGAACATGGCGAAGAGTTGACCTCAATGACTAGTATCGAGTTTCTTTGTTCCACCCCATCCTGCTTAGCCTAGCCCTTCGGCCACAATCGCAAGCTTGACGGATAACATGAAACAAGAGAAAATGGTATCTCCTTAGTTTTATCATCTCTTGTCCTTTTATTTCATATTGGTATATGAAATATCAGCAGTTAGGAAGTGCCGGCACTTCGCTGCAAAGCCACCACCAACAGTCGCACGCAGGGCAAGGATACTGCGAGGGTCGCCCGGTCCCTTCGCATGCTCGAACCCGAACCCTCGGATTATAAGGCAGGCTTGTGATCCCCTAGGCTACGGGGCGGCATATGACTGGATTGTATTGCAGCACAAAAGCCGATGTGCTTTCTTCTCTCTAGCTAACGTGTGAAATGATGCTGATGCTACACGAGCGTCGAATGACGGGTACCGATTTAGTTCCGTCCGAGACCGTGTGAGCGCAAGTGTGGACATCCGGAGATGGCAACTTTTGCTCAATGGAAATCATCCAGTCTATAAACGAGGCTTAAGGAAAAAGTGACCGGACCGGAGGTCAACTGATTGCGTACCAAAACTACAGCAAGTATACGAGCCAAACAAGACTCATATAGTTTATATAAAGAAAATGATGGTGGCTCAGGTTCTTCAATTGTTAGTCGAACAATTCGTTATTGCGTTGATGTGTTACCTCGATTGATGACGAAACGTCCGCAACAAAATTACCAAAAGATCATATTTAATCGATGGCAGCGTGGATGCACACACAAGCACTACGATGCGTGTTGAGGCGGGCAGACTCGACTTCTGATAGCGTGAACAAGACGGTCGGCGCACGCACTTCTATTGGCTCGATTAAACGAATACTCCCCGCTGGTGTACGTATTTCCCACTACCAAGTGAACGAGGATCATAATCTTTGCTGATCCACGCGCGCCGAAAGTGGTTTACAAAGGGACAGAGGACCTGTTACAACAAGCTGAATTAGCAAGGTGAACCATAGCGCCAGCAGTTAGTGAACCAAATGTAAAAACTATATATGTTAGATTACTGTGCATAAGTAACAATTTGTGCAATGTTGTGCTATGCCAACATTTGAGGGCATTCACCGATCGAATACCCCAACCTTGAGCACAGGTTCGAATAGACGACTGGTAATCATTGATCAGGAGGAAGCGGTGCGGTTTTAGTGAGCGTCGAACTAAAAAAGCGGACTGCAGCCTAGCCATTGCCCTGTGTACATCTGGCACACGGCTTTCCAAATTGCACATTTATTCCATGGAAGGAGAAACGCGCCGTCGTTATCTCTGTCAAGTTAATTATTGCAGTAATTCTTACAGACCTCCCATTGAGCTCGATCTCGCGCCATGTTTTCAAGCGTTTCTTCATCTCAACTCCTCAGACCGGAAGACAAACAGGACAGACGACCAAGAGACTAAAGTCAGCGAAGATGTTTGGTCGCCAAGTTGTGGATCGATTACCGCGTGATTTCTTCTAGCAATACAAGCTTGTTGAAAGTAATGGCCGCAATACCGAATACGCAACAGCTAACATCACCCTTGCAAACATGGGGTTCCCTCGACACACGAACTATGGTTCGGAAACACTTATTAACGAAGTCCGAAAGCCGGCCGGAACTCACTTTTGTATAACAGTAACAAGTGTGAAACGTTCCGACAATACCAGAAATGTACCAAACCGGCCAACGCTTATCAAGTTTATGTAATAGGACAGAAACTGATCTTTCAATGGTGATATCAGCAGACACGTAGCTCTCTAGCCAGACAAAGCGGCTCACTTGTTCACGCGCCGCAGGTTTAAAAGTGAGCAATGGGTCACGTAAATGGTAATCTTGTAGTGGGAATGAGCATTTCGAGGGGCAGATGCCATACCAGGGTTCATTGCTTCAATCGCAGGACGGTTAAGAATGAGTCGCAGACTTTGGGAGTGGTCCAAAGCCAAGCGGAGTCATCAGCATAGTCCAAATCAGCTGTGCGATTAAGTGGAAGAAGCTCTAGGCCAGAACCCTAGAAGGCTCCCAGAGCGTTCAATATGAAACCCTCAATTGCATAAACGGGGACAAAGGACAACCCTAGCATTCGCCAATAGTGAACGCTAAAGACGAAAAGGGTATTGCCGTAAACGCATACTTCGTTCGACACAGAGAAGTACAATGCTCGAAGGATAGTGGTATACTATTCGGGCACGCCGTTCTTGTGCAGTTAACACCATAAATTAGTTTGAGTGACCGAGTAGAAAGAAGCCCGGAAGTCCAGAAAGATGACAATTCTAGGCTACTAAGCAATTGCGACCCCTGTCCACATGCATTCCGGTATTAATCCTTTGGCAGTACACCGGATGTGGAGCATGGGAAGGGGACTGCGAGTGGTTCCGCGCTAGTCAATCATGGTCTCGCGCTGGTGATCTATGGTTGTTCGCAGTTATAGCGCTAAATGGCGTCCACAGTACTACGGTAAACCGTATCGACGCTTTGTTGCCACGCAAACAGTCGCGCGAGGACTGGACACACCGCGAGGACACCCGCACCTACGCGGGTATTCGAATCGCTGACCTACATAGTACAACGCAGGCGCGCGCGTAATCCCTTTGGCCACCATTCGACTGATTTACGAATTTAGAAGTGAATGCCGCCAACCATATGGCGAAAAAACATCATAAATTATAAAAGCAAGATGAATTTCCTTAAGTGGAGTTAGCACAACTGAAGCGAAAAGGTTAGTTGGCGATAAAGACTATCTAAACTAAGAGTCAATATGACCGTTTCAGTGAAAGTACTGTTGCGATCCTATGGCCACTAACGGAATTCGGAAGGAACATGCGAGGAAACGGAACACTCACGAAATCAAGGCAAAGAATTACAAAGGCGAAACAAATCCGGTACCAGTATATAGCCTCAACCCCGGAAAGAAAGAAGACAAGAGCTCAGACATGAGATCTATTAGCACGCTAACACAGTAATGGAGACTCATGATTGGTTCAGGTCATTCAACGGCTTTGTCAAATCAGCCAATCACAGTGCTCGTTTGAAGCGGGAAAAATTGCACGCAGTTTAAATATCAAAATGGTGACTAACAAAAACTGTACAGTTTTGGCTGATTCTAGTGTAGCTCTTGGAAAATATAGCCTTTATCCAAAAACACTACTCCAGTGATATCGACAAAAAGGTCAATGAATAAATAGAGAGCATGAACTGAATAAGTCAACGAGATTTTCAAAGAATAAGTGAGTTGCGGAGCCGGTGCAAGCGTAAAGCATGTGACCACCAAATGGTTATGCAGCGCGGTGATCCGCGAGACATTGACGCTGGTGCTGGGTAAGTTTAGTTGACGGAGTAAGATTTTAAGTTTAATTGAACGTCTGCACAGTGGTATCCGGGCGAAATGAAATGAAAAATGAAATGCGTCAGCTTATACGCCGTAACGGCGCTTCGCTGCCGCGCGACCACCACCAGTCGCGCGCGGGCTGAGTATATCGCGAGGACGCCCACCTCTACACGGATTCGAACCGGTGACCTTATGGTCGGAAAGCAAACGTGCAGACCACTCGGCCACCGGCCGGGCGAGCATGCGGCTCAATGGACAGCCCTCGGATGACTGCAGTTGTCTCTGGTGTGAAGCATGGCTCTCTTAGCTTCTGTCCTATTTAATATCTATCTTCTTGCAATGCTGTCTTGTGATTTTGATGCGGCTTGTGCTTACGTGCTGATGGTGGGTTGCAAAACATCCGTCGTTTCGGTGTGAGAACCCTCGTCTGTGAGACAAATATCCGTATGCCGTCGTTCGCTGACGACTGTGCGGTGTTTGCACACCGCGGATGAGTTGCAGCACATGACTAGTGCTCTGGCTTCAACGGCGGTCAAATTCGGACTAGCCATCAAGACAAGCGAAATTGTCCGTCTCTTTCAGACTTCACCGGAGATGCATTCAACAGTGGTGTCGCGAATCGGCATTGGTGATGGCATACTGGAAACCAAATACCGCTTCTTCTACCTTGGGAGTAGGGTGTCGACTAACCAGCAGACACACAGTGACCTGCGTATCCGCGTCTCGAAGACAGCGGCAGTATCCGGGAAGCTAGATTACCGAGAATGAAACAAATATCTCCTTACCGTTGGCACGAAGCTGATGGTGTACAAATCAATTGTGCTGTCCGTTCTTCAATACGGCAGCGAAACGTGGACGAGGTACCGGTAAGATATATCTCCAGCGGTTTCATCAACAGTGTCTGCGACGGATTTCGCGCATTGGTTGGTGCAACAGAGTTGCAGACACGCAAGCGTTGCGTCGAAGTGGAATGTATGCAGTGGACTGCATACTTTTGCAGAGACACCTTAGGTGGCTCGGCCATGTGTGGCGCATGGATTCGACGCGGATACCGAAACAACTATTATATGGTCAGCTGAGTAGTAGGAAGCGGCATGCGGGGAAACCGAAGCTTCGTTACCAGGACATGATCAAAGTGAGCCTCACGTTCTAATCTTGATTGCAGGTCATGGGAATCGAAAGTGGTTGATCGGCGTGCATGGCGCAATCTGATCACGAAGGCCGTTGCCGAAGTGCAAGAGAAAGCCCTCGTGCATGCAGAGAAGCGGCAACTGCGGAAGCGACAGGCGCCAATGGGTTGCGCTCCATCGACATCGATACGCACATTTAGTGAATAGTTATGTCGCCGTATCTCTATGCATCATTCGATTTAGTTAATCGGATATCGTCGTTTTAAGTGATTGGTTGTTGCTTGATATGCTCGCAGTGGCTGCGCTTGATGTGTATGTTGACAAAGTGCCTACCTATTTATCACCCACTACCTCGTCCATACCGACTCCAAGAGACAGTTGGTCGTTGCTGGATGGGACGGGATGCACGGTCCTCGTGGCCGTGCTAGGCACGAAATGGTTCCATGCACTCAGTGTGGAGCGGACTACGGTCCAGCCACCGCCTTGTGTGCGCTTGATTCCCCAAATACAGCGTGCTTGTTTTTGCTTGTGAGGGAGTGTGGGCCGGCTCCGTTGATGTAACGTGGGTCCCATCTACGTGCCTTCCGGTCTTATTCCTTCGTGTTTACACTGGACATGGGGTGTGTGGATGGAGCTGTGGGTGGTGCAGCGCAACCCACCCATGGTCCATCTGTAGGCGCATGCGTACTGTAGCTAACCACAGTGACAGGCAAATCCGGCACCGGATGCCGCCAACCATGGTTAGCGGCAGCAGTCTATATAATAGACGTCGAGTCATCTAGAAACCATAGAATGCATGTGTATACTAAGCACAAACATTAAAAAAAGAAAATGCAAAAAGAGAACCTTTTGGGGTTTTTACACGCCGCTTTCCTTTTTGGTAGTTTGGAGATCGCGGTGTTGATCATTAGAATCAATGCAGACTCATGCAGGCCTTCCACTGCCCGCGATTACGCGCTATGTTCCCTAGAGTCTCCAACCAGCGATGTTCTTCATCTCATGCTGCCCAGCCCGGAAAACTTACGGGGCTGACAACAGCTAGACTGGAAGTCAGCTCCTTGACGTTTTGTCGCCGTGGTAGGTTGGTCACCACGTGAGTTCTTCCAGTGCGGCAGACATCAATCAGCTTCAGTTCGTAACATTAATGTTAGAAAAGTCATAGTTGGAGGAAGATGAACATCACTTACTCGATCCGTCCGAGCCTTTCAGTTGGGCCAACTCCTCCCCCATTTGTTTGTTTAATTGCTGCGCGTCATAAAGTCGATGATCCAGCCGCGTGACCTGACTCATAGCTTGGGAAAGCTTGTAATCCAAGTCTTCGTACTTGGCTTGCCACTCAGCTGCGGAATCCGAATGAGTCTGAGCCAAATCTTGAAGCTCGCGTAACTAAAGGAGTAGCAGAAAGAGTAATGCAAATTCGGGATAGGACAAGTAACTGGATGGATATCTTTTATAAAGCGTACATTACACAATGACACGGACTTATGAGGTTAGGGGAGAGGGAACAGTAATAAACCCCTTCGTGGTAGGTTTACGTGATGGAGACAGCTACACACCGCAAGGATTCAATGACGCAAGCCTGAAAACGTAGCGCTGATATGAGGAGACATTAGGATGGTTTCGTTTCGGTCTAGTAATGCACAAACAAGAATATAAAACCTCGCAGAGTATTCGGTAATTAAATCTGAGAAGGCAAATAGGTACTGGAATAGAGAAGAACAAAAATTGACATTTTAAGCCTTATGATATCAAACGCGGCAGATGAAATGCGTGGACGAAGAAACGCTAAAGAACGTGTTGAGTGCTCAATGGGGGAAATGACAACACAGCAACTGCTACCGACGGATTTAGGCATGGAAACGAGCACAGTAACCAAAGTAAGAACAAGAAAGAGTAACTATGCATCTGGAGCACTGCATCCGTGGTTTGAGTCTGCCAATGGGTAAACCATTCAACAATTCCCACACGTTTTAATCGCGTAATTGTTGCTAGTCATGCTGTGGATATGTGTAATTGATAAAGTAACGAAGATAAAAATCAGCTGAATAAAATAACAATGGGGACGAGCGACGTTACACAATGACCAGAAGCCACCCACTTCTTGTGCGTAGGATGTAGGGAACGAATTCAAGAAGTTGTGGGTCGGAACAAAAAGCGCAGTCACGTGAATCATGAGTGCGCAGTTGTTACAGATGTGGTGATGAGAATAAAGGTGCAGTAGCATCAGACCGAAGGACCAACGATGATCAGGTGTATGTATGTACCAATCGGATTCTCGTCCAAATTGTGTAACTAGGTCCATCTAATGACCGCTGACCAGCAGCCAGGAAAAGGCAAACGTAGAGTCCAACGTGTGCACATGAATGCGTTTCGTTCATCGATGGGACAGAAGCACCTGTGGTAAGCTTGTCGGACAGAATTTGAGAATTGATACACAAAATACAAGTGTGAATTAAGATATGTTCAAAACGTGTGTAGCATATAAAAGTCGTGCGTAGAATGAACACTAATAGGGAGCACAAAAACTCACTTTGAGACTATTTTGTCGATGCTTAGCGTGAAGGTTGGTGCATAAAGTGTGTAGGCGAATATTTTCTTTATTCAACTGTGCGATCTCCTCGCAAAATTGAGTGAGCTGATCCGAATCGACCGAGCTAGGATCAGCTGAATTCTCGGGAAAATCAACAGTATGTCCATCAGCTAAGTCGGAGGACGAGATTGTGGGATCGGGAAGGCGGTTCGGGTCGGTCGAAGTTGAACCGGTGACAGCCGTGTTTTCGCGAACCGAAGAATTCATCCGACGCAGTCGGGCCTGACGAGCAAGGAGCCTGAAACAAAAGGTGGCTAAAAAGTATTGTAGTTGAAGGAGTCCCTGGACGAATAGGCTAGGATTTCTGACCAGTATTTCGACATGGATGAGATCGGATTTCGAAGATTCCAGATAAGATATTCAGATTGGAAGCACGGTCAGCTAGCCAGATGACGCTGACCAAAACGTCGAGGTTGTGGAGACAGGTACAAAATAACTGCTAGACATCGTACGGGTGGTGTGAAGCATCTCAGATGCCGCACACGGGATAGATAAAATCGACTAAACAAATCTCTCTCGTGCTTTCAACATTGTCATCGCTCCCATATCCGATTTATTGTGTCACATTTGACTATTATTAAGTTTTCTGATTGGAATATTTGGTATGATTAATCCCCGTCTTTCTCAATGCTAGTAGTTCTACAGCAACACGAAAATATGAGCCAAAATGGGTGGTCCCAAGCACAACGGCACTCAGGTTATAGCACATAGTCGGAGCAGTGCCAAACATCCAGTTGACGTAACGACAATGACCAGGCGACTGGTTAGAGCAATCAAAATGTTAACATATCGCGATGACTGTTTTTCTATGTTGATGAAGTGGTTAAATGGGGCAAAATGTTCCACAAACTTTAAAAGAGTCAATATCAGCACGCAGTCTGATACGCGGTCTTGAAAAAGCCACAGGATACCAACGGACAACTCTCACCTCTCGTAAGCAGAAAGGAGGCGGGCAATGATACGTTTTGAAAAGTGCACACGCTCTTGAAGCTTTTCTGGCACTTCCTCCTTGTCCCACGAGGCAAGCTGTTTCAAAAACGACTCAGTTGAAGTGGAGACTAAACAAAACAGAAGAAGAAAGACAAGTTATGCATCGCGGGGATAGGAAAATTCGGCGTTGTCGAAATAAGAAAAAAATATTAAGCAAGAGAGGAAACATGTGCGCTATTCGCATGACAGACAGACAGTATTCTGTAAGTCAAGTTTGATGTATCCAGATGGGTGTATTTTCAGCAATTTATAGTATCAAGTGCAGATTAATTAAAATGACATCTCGACAAATGCAAAATTTTATAGATGGATACAGAAAAGAGAAAAGGCCGCATTGCTGTCACTCGAGTAAAATGACCCGCGGTCTTGAGCACACAATCCTCGTGTTTTTTTCCAGGCGATAGAGTATAGTTTTGTTAGAATATTTCTTCTTAATTGGTTTCAAACTGGCTTAAAGGTTCTTGGCCAAAACCAACAGATCGCGAATAGTGCGCGGCATCTGGGCTTAGTATTCAAAGTATGGATATTGTTGACCTTGGAAGCATTTTGGACAAAAAGCTGTCAAATTATTCAAATAAAATTTATTATATCCGCAGCAGGGAAAGTAAAAATGATGTTCAATGAAAACACAACGGTCGCCGTGTGGAGAGCACTTGCGTAAAATTGAGGACTCATGGTCCAGCATTGTCGTTAAGATGACTTGACAAGACTTGACCGCCACAGATCGAGCACTGTGCTTCAAGGCACGATGACGCAGGAAAGTTGTGCTGACTTTTGTTGACATATAGTACATAAACAGGGAAGACTGATCGCGGTGTTAATGAGCGAAAGACAGCTAATTATAAGTACTTAATTGAGCATTTCGATCAAAGTATAAGATCCGGTACCCCGATAAACGCTAGGCGACTTAAAATTCAAGACACATCGATATGGCAAGAAGAGTTGGATTAGAGGGTCGCATGGTACAATGCACCGTGAGTAAGTTCAGAAGTCCACTCCGCCTGTTAATGTAGGGTTTGGATCGCAATATCGCGACACAGGTGCAGTGTTTAGCTTGATTTGTCATCAACAGCAGTACATTAGTAAATTGAATCAATGGTTCATTGCTTTACAACCAGAACGAGGGAACTAGTTGGAAGCATTGACAACTGAAAGGTTAGAGAAGCGAGTGGGAAACAGGATGATCGCCTAAAATGAAGTTCACTACAACTAACCACAGTGGAACAGCAGTCAACAATCGAAAAACCATTGGTAATGCTCGGTGTAATAAACAGAGTAAACAAGACTCGAAAACGCAGAACGAATATCACGGGAGGTTGAGACTTCCCAGGCTCGACGGACACCGACAACCGACGGGTGGTCTAAGTGAATACCTGTGGTATAGAGCTGCCTACCAGCAGCAATAACTATCGCGTTTACTCACTTTCCTCCTCTATATCGGAGTCAAATCGCTGGAGCATGATCAGTCCATCTTCGTCGAGCTGAAAAAGAAGAAACAAAAGAGAACAGGAGTTAAACCTTGACGCACGGCTAGGATGATTGAAAGTAAAGAACGGGTGGGCGAACAACACACATTTAGAGGGGGATGATGTCTGTCGGCACAATCAGCTTCGCGAAAATTCGAATAAGGTCCAGATTCCTAGCCCAACAGGAGAGGAGCGCATAGATGAGAAGCCCAAGATGACTGAAACATTTCAGAAGTAGTTTGAACACTTGGCGTTTGGATTACGCATGGCGAACTCACACTCAGAAACCCAAAGACAACAAGGCAAGAGAATCGTAAGTTTCAATATGTACGAGCTGAAGTGGTAATTAGAAAGTGTCGTCCGGGTTTGTGAAGATCATATTGTGTAAGTGTGTAGCAAATATCAAATCGCTACGTGGGGCTGATAAGTAATGAGGTATTATATAAAATCACAGAAGCAACATTCCATCATCATCATCATCATCATTATGCACGTTTGGCGCAGCTGGAAAACACCTAAGCTATTGTGTCGCAATACAAAAGACAAGAAGAAAAACAGCAGTGGCACGCCGGCTGAGTCCGCAGTAACGGATGTACATCGTTCTGGAGAGCTAACAGCCAGCTATCGTGCCGCAAAGAGAGTCATACTATGCCTAACGAATGAGATCGTGATTGAAGGGGAGGCTAAGCAGGAGGAGGTGGACAGAGGAATTCACAACACAAACGCCTGCTCCTGACCATATCAGCAAGTGTGTCCAACCAAACGTGTTCTTCGTCCTTATGACCCCAACCAGGCAGTCGGGATGCACCAACCGACGCCAACTTTGAAGTGAGGGGTTTTATTTCGCTCAACCAGGTCATCGCATGGCCTCCCCTCTTCTTATTCCACCCGCACCCCCGGCGCGCAAACGCACGTCGCGGGAATCGGTGTGCTGGCATGCGCAACAGGTGGCCTAGCCATCGGATCCTGGTGCGTGATATAATGGCGCTGAGCGGTTCACTCGCTCTTCCTGCACCAAATACGCGACGCCGAACATGTTCATTGCTCATGCGGTGCTCCCACCAGACATGAGCTAAGCTGCGGAGGCAATGACGATCGAACCTGTCTAGCCTTCTTATGTTCGCCAACCTGATGGGAAAGGTTTCACAACCGTATAAGAGGGTTGAACGGACGGCTGCATTATAAACTCGGCCCTTAAAGGGTGAGAGTGATGTCGCGTCTGCTGCATAAGTGGCGAAGGTTAGCAAAAGCACTTCGAGCTTTTGCTATACGGTTCGTGATCTCATGTTCAATCCCAAGGCCGCTGATACAACTTCCCAGGTAGTTGAATTTCTGAACGACTTCTAGCTGATCCTCACCAAGGGTCAGCGAAGGAGGCGGTCCAGACCAATTTTGGACGAATGCTTTGCATTTCGATGGTGCAAAGCAAAGCCCGAAGCGGCTGACAGCCAGTGCAGCTTGACACGTCTGGGAGCTGTCACAGATTAGGGCAATATCGTCAGCATACTCTAAGTCAAGAAGTCGTTCTCCTGGGAGCAGATCCACACCTTCTAAGTCGTGTCCTGTGAACGCGATTTCCATGATTTCGTCAACAGCGAAGTTGAAGAGGAAAGGTGACAGAGGGCATCCTTGTCTCACACCGCTGGAGATATTAAAGGGCGACCACAACTTGCCGTAAGCCCTCACTCTGCCTGAGCTACGCGCGCATAATGATCGGATAATATTTACATATTTCTCAGGGACACCTTTCCTGAGTAGACAGTCCCAATCCAGTCCGAATCGAATGCCCCTATGATATCGAGGAACACGACAACGGTGGGCCGCCAATATATGTGACGGTGCTCCAACAACTGACGCAAAGTGAAGATGTGGTCAATACAGCCACGACCTCGACGAAACCCGGCTTGCTCTTCACGAATATGGCTTTCACAACTGCCAGTCGGTCTATGAAGGATTATAGAGGCAAGCAATTTGGAGGCGATGGAAATCAGACTGATTCCTCTATGGTTGCCACATTCCGATCGTGAGTCCACCTTGAAAATTGGGACTATGACGGAGCGGCTCCAGTCGGTTGGGACAGTTTCCTGCTCCCACAGTTTCAATAGTAATTCGTATAAATCATCCACAAAAGCAGGTCTCCTGAATTTGAAGAGGGCTGGAGGCAGAGCATCTGGTCCCGCGGCTTTATTTAACTTCAACAGTGCGATCTCACGTTCGACTTCTGAGCGAGAGGGTGGATCCAAAGGGACAGCCCAGGGAGCGGGGCGATTAGTGGCCGGCGAGAAATCTAACAATTCCGACCGACTAAATTGCCTTTCAAAGTGCTCAGTCCAAAGCTCCAAGCGTTTTGACAAGTTGTGGATAAGCTGTCCACTCTCGTCACGTATAGTTTCACCAACACCAGGTCTTCTGCTGCCCGTTTCCCGTATCAGCCGGAATAACTTACGATGGTTACCAAGGGCAGCGGCTATTCCCATCTCTGATGCACGATGAGACCACCAGGATTCGCGATCTCTCTACAGGCTAGCACGGAGTTTTGCCCGGAGCTCTTCGCGAGTTTCATTGTGTTCGCTTCCAGCCGGAATATGCCGGCGAGCATCGATAAGTTCCAGAGACTGTGAAGAGACCCAATGTCCATGTTAGCGATTCGACTTACCACATGAGAATTTGCCTGCTGCTAGTAATGACTGGTGAATATGAGACCAGTGAGCTTCAACTGCATCCAGTGAGCGTTTATCCAACTTGCATAACAGCGTACTTTGATAGGCATTCAGAACAGCTGGCCTCGCCAGTTGGCTGGTGTCAATGCGCTCACAACGTCGTCGTGGGCGTCCGCCAAAACGCATCAGCAGATCAGCAAATACAAGTGCATGGTCAGTGTCCACATCTTTGCTCCAAATCGAGCGATAGTTCTGGACGCAGCCTCTCCATCAGTAACTTATCGCAATGTGATCGATTTGCGTCCATAGCTGGTGGGCGCCAAGTCACCCTCCGGCACGTGCTGTGTCGGAGATTAGTGCTCGCAAGAAATAAGTGAGCATCTTCACACAAATGAAGTAAACGCTCACCGTTATTAGTACGGAAGCTTACAGCATGTTAGCCGTCCAGATGCATTTCATCTGTGGATAATTGTCCAACTTGAGCGTTCAGATCCCCAGCCAGCACAACAGTGTCCGAGCTTCTTCTGTGGTGAAGGAGGCCGTTCAATTGACGATAGAAGTGGTCTTTTACCGAAGCATCGCTCGTTTGTGGGTGCATAGGCAGTGATGACGAATGGACACCTGTTGATCCCGCGCGACTTCGAAGGTTTGAACGAGCCAGCCAATCGGACCGCACACAACCGGCTACGGACTGGAATCCAGTCAACCAGAGCAACTTCAGCCCGGGGATTCAGAGCAACACCAACACCGACTTGGCCGATGCTCGAAGCTGCATCGTCACCGGGTAGGCGCAATGAGAAAGTGCTGCTGGCGTCACGTGAAGGGGATCGCAAAGTGAGCACAGAGCACGAGTCTTGCAGGCGGGTCTCTGATAAGCAGCAGATATCGATCGAGAGGGTCTCTAATATTCGGGCAAGTGCTGCCTGTTGACCGATCTGTAGCAAAGTGCGCATGTTGAGGCATACCAGTCTTAGCGAGGATCGAGGACTCCAAAGGAAAACGGGTGAACTGACGTCCGCTTGGTTGAATATGGACTTGTTGACTGGATTGGAGCGAGGCCCTGTGATTGTGTGCGGGTTAAAACTGAAAGACGAGCGACTATTCAATCAAGGTGGAGGAGGGCCAAGGATTGAGGGATTGAAAACGGGGGATGAAAGTGCAGTTTGAACGGGATGTTAAGAATGAAAAAGCGCAAGAGGGGAAAAAGAAGGCGGAAAGGCTTGAGCAGCAGCATCCAAACCCCTATCCACCCTGCTCGATGCAGTAGACAGGGCACCGTTCATTAGCCTCTGCGACGGTCAAAAACTTAAGAGATTGTTAGAAGGAAAGGTCATGGTGTATTGCGTGGGCAGGATATTGTCAGGCTGCCCAGGCCAAGACAGGAGAAGGATTAGGGTTCTCAAGCAAAGCCTTTGGTTCAAAAATCTTACCGCAAGGCAGCGGGGTTTTGGCACTGGACTACAGGGAGCCCGTTTTATGGAGTAAGGAACCACTCTCATCACAACCTCAAAGCTAGAGGGCCAGGCGACTGGGTTTGTCTGGCCTCTAATCATGGACCAAGCTGGTATGAGTGGCTTCGAAGGTGCAAAAAGCAACAACCAGCATAGCTCAATGGATCACTGAGGCACATAAACCATCGCACCACGTTAAGGTCCAGTCTCTTCGCGATGGAAGCAAAATTCCAAGGAACGATTTCCCTCAACGGGAATGGAGGACAGCAAAAGACACGATTTGAGCACCTTCTGTTAGCGGCAAATTGATAGAATTTATCTGAGTCAGGTGGCAAGCCGACAATAGAAGTAGGGCTCTAAGCCCAACACACTTTGAGATAGAGGGATTGAGATTACTATGCAACAGAGTAAAAAGAGACGTACTTGATTCCAGTAGCGATTAATGACACAGAGGAGAGCATCATCCTTAGCTTGTCTATTTTCCAGTTGTTCAATTCGATCACGCAACTCCGATATGACAGCCTGGCGTTCCATTTGAAGTTCCCAAAGTTTCTTATTTTGTAACTGCAAAGTCCGCTTGTCCAACTCTTCCAGAGAGCGAACCCGTGTGAAGAGGATGGGTTCAGAAGACCCTGATAGTAATCTCTTGCATGGGGAGGCAGAAGAATCATCGTCACGATCGTCATTGGGTACATCCAGGTGAGAACGTTTGGCCATGTGTCAGTCTAAAAAATTCGTATAATCGACTGAACAACCCGAAAAAAGAAACATTTAGAGACTAGTGAGAATGCCGAGCTGAAGGAGGATGCAAAACAAATACCTTTTGGTGCCTACTCGAGGAAAAAAACTGTTGAATTATTAAGAACAACCGATACCAGTCAAAACGTGTTTAGTAGTGACAAGCGAATAGCTTATCAACATCAACTGATGAATGAAAACAGAGGCCGATATCGGAAGAAGCTGTATTCAGAACCAGCACCCATGCAAACATTGTGAAGGTGTACAAGCATTGCTCCAATTGGTAGGAATTCAGTTCACAAAATTGTATGTAGTATAGAGGGCGTGGGATCGATCATTTCGAAGAAGTGAATAGGATGAGGCAAAGTCAAGTACAATAAGTCTGACAAAAAGTGTTGTGTAGACTTTGACACACGTGAGGTACAAAAAGGGGAGAAATTGACTTGGTGTGAAATCGAGACAAAGTTTGGCGACACCTGGTAAACAAAATAACTTTAGGATAGTAAGTGGAAGCACCGTAGCGCGTAAATTATAGCAAAAATGAAAAAAGCTAGAGAAAAGTGCTTGAATAAGCAGTGTACACACTCACACACACACACACAAACAGGGAAAATTACAAACGGCGACAGTTGGAGTGAGTGAATAGGTGCCAGGCCAGCAAATCAAAAGGGTAAGGTAAATCACATGGAGGGATCGAACAGCAGTGCATGGAGAGAGCCATCTGGAGTGATTATAGAAGAAAGAGTGAGGAAAAAGAATTGATTCCGAAGCCGAACGGACAATCAGAAGAGAGCAAGCACAATATAGCAGAGAATGTAGTGTCAGGCTATAAAAGTTGTCGAGGACAGATGAGGAGGGGGAGGCGCAATAATAGGCACAAGCGTAGCAGTATCAGCCAAACCTGATTGATAATATGAATCAAGCATTGACCCAATGAAAAGATATTCCAAAATGAGAAAAGGCTTATCTTTTTCTTTAAACGAGGCGAGGGCAAGGCAGGCAGACCTTTGCCACTGAGTACAAGGTTAACAAGAGTAGACGACGTATGTCAAACCTGAAGGTTCACCAATGAAACCAGGAGTGGATATTCCACTATGGCAATGAAGGATAGATGCCAGAAGAGCAAAAGGTGTTGGCGCGAACTTGCATTGCTAGGTCCACCGGAAGATGCGTTGGGGTAAATGATGGAACCGCTCGCAAATCGGCGTCGGTTAAAAGAATCAGTGGAGAGAATGCCAGATCTACTGCAGTCAGCAACGGAGTGATGCGCAGAGGTAACCGACTGCGAGAATAAAGAGTCGATTGTAAACCATGTGTCAAATAAACGAGATGGAGTTATTTTCTCGACTTAACAAAATAAGGGAGTTGTTCATCGGTTCTGTAGAAAGTCCAGAAGCGCGCATGATACAGTGGTGGTACAAAACATGGGAATTCATCATCTGTAACGGAAGTGGGTATGAAAGACGTCACCAGGGGCAAGCGTTTGGGATGACAAGGGCAACTGAAACAGAGAGTGGCTGATAGAGGTAAACAGAAGGAAAATGTCTCCATGAGTGGCAACAATACTCAGGGGAAGCTTAATACTCGAGTTCGCAGCAATCCACAATGAAATAAACAAGGGCTTGGACTCGGGCAAGAAGTGCAGGGAAGAAAGTACGTTCGGAGACTGCGGACGAAGTAAAGGATAACAGCCAGAGAAGGGACATAACACTGTTGTCAGAAGGCCAACCCAAAGAGTTAATGTCGATGTTCCTGGGACTGTATGGCAGCAGCGGTACATGTGGTGGGGAGAGTTGCCTTTAGTGCAGACTCGCGATTGGTAGGAGGGCCAAAAAACCGATTGCGAATAGGCAGTAAACCACCACTGGCATTCGTTGCAGGATGATTAGAATTGGCCAAGCGGGAAGAAGTGGCTAGAGCAGCGGCCGCCAACGCCGAGGCTTGGGCAGCACCGTATCGAACAAAGTGTGGCGGATGGAAGCTTTCGTGACCCAAGTAGGGCAAACCGTTTAAATGGAAAGGTCTTGAGCCTGCAACCGTGACCTGCTCAGACCGTGGAACAGCACACGAGCTGTCAAATTGGGCTGTTGCAAGTGCATCCATAGCAGGCGTTAATGTGGTGGCAGGTCGTGACATGGCTGTTTCAAAAGAGCGATCTGTATTTGACCCAGCTGTGCTGCTCACATCCATATCTTCGAAGTCTTCGGCAAAAACAAATGGCCGGGAATTGGGTTGTGCGGTTGCGGTTTCTATTGCGGTCGATGGTGGTAGCTGTTCTGGATGCGGTGTACCAGCATGAGGAATACCATGACTACTTCCACCGGGAATGAGGCCACCGGTGGAGGCCATGATTGTGTGACCCACGAAGCCAGGCGAGCTACAACAGAATTAACAGCGAGGATTATGCGCTAGTGAGATGGGAAATTGGTAGACGAAAAACACAATCAAACCAACAATAACACGGGTTAGACAAAACACATGAATGCGAGTTCGAGCTAAAAAATGTTGACTTTAGTAAAGTAAACCTGGACATATTATGGTATTGCTCATCCCAACACTGGGGTGCCGGTGTTGGGATGAGCAAGACCATAATATGTCCATTTTACCTACGGTCCTTGTGATCGGAATGACCGAGGTCCATCTCAAGTGAACCGAGGTCTCAATAGAGGTTGCTTGTAGCAACCCAATCACACAGCGGATCCTCTACGTCCAACTTTAGAGTAAACCTGGTTTGAGCATCGAACGTTGATGGAACCAGTTGCGTAGCCAGTGTTATTAAGATGATAATATTAATGTAAAAGTCGACACCGCGATTGATAAGGAAACGTTTGCAACGAAACTGCTCAGCTCGGAGAACAGAACGAAATCTGAACAGACCACCCAAGCTACAGGTAGCCCGATTTATTGCTAACATAAGGAAGCAAATTAGTAAACGGATATCAGCCGCGCTATATCACATCCAGCTGGCTAGCCGAACAACCTCCCCGTTGTGCCAGCTGGGTGGTTCGGGTAAATCCTGTTCCAGCAAATGGTCCGGTGGCAGTGTTCCAGGATGTGGTGGGATTTTGCCTGGCAAGCGTTCTCCCTATAAAAAACCACAGATATCCACTTAACAACACTGTGACTTGACGGATGTGACTCGCCACTAAATAAAGTCACTATCTCTTCCGGTTTCCGGAGGATCATTCACACATCACGAACGTCATCCGATTCGAAGCATTCCATTGATTCCCCCTTTGATGGCGAACCAAATGAACAAAAACACACACAGAGTCACATTTACCTACTCACACAACATAGTTACTTCCAAATACACACTTAAACATACTTTTACATGTCAACACACATAAATTCCTATGCTATTTGTCAGAATGTACTAATTTGTGCAATTTCCGATCATACATGTCTGTATTACCATGATCACGCTCTTGATTGTGTGCCTCGCAATGACGAAAATAAACTATTTACTTATTTATTTATTTATTTATAAGTGGTTCGCCGCCACCACACATGGCTAGAGGCCTTAGGTTACTGGATCGTAAGAATGGACTCGTGGATCGAATGCAGTAGGATTGTGTGGATGCGCGCAGATTAGTCCTAATGGCACGTCATTAGCAGTACGCCGGTACGCAGCACCGACGCTTCGCTACCGCACGACCACTACCAGTCGTCCGGTCTTTAGGCAGGTTTGAATCCGCGTCCACGGATTACAAGACAAAGATGTGATCCGTAAGACTACGGGTCGGCTCTAATAGCAGGAAACAGCCGCCAGCGCTTTCCCGGATGCGTACAGAAGCTGGCTGCGACGAATCAGCCCAAAATGACCACAAACCTTCTCGATACCCAAAAAACTCAAAAAAGAGCGAGTTATACCCGCTTTATAGAAGTGATAACAGCAGAAACCAGCCATACGGTGAGGATAAATGATCAGGTGGAGCTATGGGCAATGGGCGATGACATGAAGCACGTTACCCATTATTTGCACCACGTCCATGTAAGCAAGCTGAATTGAACGGGCTGATTCAAGGAAACGTATTATCAACGGGGCATCAGCTGAAGGGTTTCACGTGAAACATGCGCTGTACACAGAGCATGTCGCAGAGCCGGACTTGAGTCACAGACTACGTTTGGGATAGCCTGATAAGTCAGAAATCAAACTGAAACAATCGTTGTAGCCTATAGCATTTCAGAGTGTGGAAGTCCTACATAGTTTGTTGGAGCACCGTCACATATATTGGCGGCCCACCGTTGTCGCGTTCCTCGATATCAAAGGTGCATTCGATTCGGTGGATGGACATGCATTTTGGGACTGTCTACTCAGGAAAGGTGTACCTGAGAAGTATGTGAATATTATCCGAGCTTTATATGCTCGTAGCTCGGGCAGAGTGAGGGCTTACGGCAAGTTGTCGTCGCCCTTTAATATTTCCAGCGGCGTGAGACAAGGATGCCCGCTGTCACCTTTCCTCTTCAACTTCGCTGTTGACGAAGTCATGGAAATAGCGTTCACAGGACACGATTTAGAAGGTGTGGAGCTACTCCCAGGAGAACGACTTCTTGACTTAGAGTATGCTGATGATATTGCCCTGATCTGTGACAGCTCACAAACGTGCCAAGCGGCACTGGACAGATTAGCACTAGCTGTCCGTCACTTCGGGCTTTGCTTCGCACTATCGAAGTGCAAAGCGTTTCTCCAAGATTGGTCTGGACCGCCTCCTTCGCTGACCCTTGGTGGGGATCAGCTAGAAGTCGTTCAAAAATTCAACTACCTGGGAAGTTGTATCAGCGCCCATGGGATGGAAGATGAAATCACGAATCGTTTAGCAAAAGCTCGGGGCGCTTTTGCTAACCTTCGCCACTTATGGCGCCGGTGCGACATCACTCTCTCCCTGAAGGGTAGAGTGTACAATGCAGCAGTACGTTCGACCCTACTGTACGGTTGTGAAACCTGGCCGCTTAAAGCAGCGGACCTGAAGAGGCTAGTTACGTTCGACCACCGGTGCCTTCGTAATTTAGCTCACATCTGGTGGGAACACCGCGTGAGCAACGAGCGTGTCCGACACCTTGTTTATGGCACAGGAAAAGGAACTGAACCGCTCAGCACCGTTATTTCACGCATCAGGCTCCGATGGCTCGGCCACGTGTTACGCATGTCAGCCCACCGACTTCCGCGACGTGTGTTGTTTGCGCGCCGGGGGTGTGGATGGAAGAAGAGGAGGGTGGCCAAACGATGATTTTGTCCAGAGGAATGAAGACCCTCACTTCTGAGCTGGCCTCGGTTGGAGCGTCTCGGCTCCCTGGTTGGGGTCCGAAAGACGATGAACACGTTTGGTTGGACACACTTGCTGACATGGCTAGGAGCCGACCTCAGTGGCGTTCGTGCTGTGAGTTTCTTTGTCCCACCCCATCCCTCTTAGCCTCCCCCTCCAACCACGATCTCATTATTTAGCATTATATAATTTTGCATAGCAATTTTTTTGGGTGCACAGCAGCCGGCTGGTAGCTTACCGGAACGATGCCCATCCGTTACCGGTAGCTCAGCCAGCTTGCACCAGTTGCATTTTTTTCGCCTTTTTTCTATGTATTGCGGCACAGTAGCTGAGGTGTTCCCCACCTCTAGCTAACGTGTATGATGATGATGAGTCCTACATAGTAAAAGAGTGAAGAATAGGCGTGAAATGATAATATTCCAGAGACATACAACGTGCCACCACTAGGTGGTTTGGAACAGCCAAAGCGGACAGAAAAGGACAAGCTCCTGCAGGTTCAATACACATTAAGCTACACAAACTAGCTCAGATGATAAGGCGTAAAACAGACGGGATGTGGTGGCGAGATAGATGAAAAGATAGTATATTACTACTCGAATACAGAAAAAGAACTAGTGATGCGTAGGGAAAAAGTATACCTCAGATACATAAATAGGGACTGAGTTGCTCATCCATCATGATCTGAGTGATAAAGTGTAATGGAGTCAGTTGTCAAGTCTGACGTCAAACATAAAAGGGTTAGAACGAGTAACACAAACGAAAATGGCACAGAGTTAGATGAAGTTAGACCAAACTAATAGTAAAAAACTTGCCTGCTACCGGAAACACCGGAACGCCTCCGGGAGCGGGAACATGACCACTGGGATACCCAAGGATCGCGAGCCATATCAATTTGAACCTGAGGATCAACATAAGTGAAGCCTTCGAAAACATCGTTGACGTTGGCAGAAATGGGTAGACCTTCATCTGGACTCTCGACAGGATTCTCCTGAGTGAACTTGGGATCAAACAGAGATACGTCGGTATCGGAAGTAAGGGTTGGACGAAATGGCGGTTCAACCTGTCGTCGGAAAACTTTTTCCCAGTTGGTGGATCGGAAAAACGCGTGTGATTTGATTGCCTCGGCGTCCGCTGGCCCAGATCCAAGCCGTCGATTAGCATCAACCACCAGTAGCTGAGGGTGGAAGACAAGACACATAGCAGATGCTGATAAAACGCAAATGCTTTTGACTCAGAGCAACGACAAAAAAGAAAATGGAATTAAACAAGCAAGAGAGGAGCGCAAAAGTGGACTGGGAATAACCTGAATTTATGTATGTATTTGATACACCTAACATACTGTGCAGCATAGTGGCGGGAACGAAACAATTGTATAGCAGCTAACTAGCATCGTTAATTTCATGGACGAAGTTTCGGCGTGAGAGCGGGCGATGAGGCGCCGAAAATAATAGCGGTTGCAAAGGATTCCAAACGAACCCGTCTCACTAGGGGGAGGGGAGTAGAGACGCGCACTCCCCTAAATAGGAAGTGGGAGAAGTCAACCAATCAAGCAACAATACAGGAAACCACCACCGAGTGATCCGTAAATCAAGCAATGATGAACTCTTCCAATACATAGTAATGAGTCATGCACATCTGACCCCATAGTGTGATTTGTCAGCTTGTGCAGCAGTCTAATAGGAGTTCGCCCTGATTAGAGTAAGTACCTTAGTCTTCACGACAATGACAAACCAACATTTCCAACAGAGGGGGAACAAGCATAAAAGCAGAAACTCGATGAAAAGACGTTAAACAAAGCAGAGGATGGAGAGGAAACTGATACGAAGAGTAGGTGTCTAGAATAAATGTGCTAAGTAATGATCAAAAGGATATGCCGAGCACCCTCAGTGAAAATCTCTGAAACTATGGTGTGGTCAGATACCAGAGCTGAGAATGGACGGAAAAGCCGGAGGAAAATGAGACAGAAATGCAAATCTGAACAGAGGATGAGGTGAAAAATTTCGAGATTACACTCATTGATGATAAAGCTGCAACATAACATCATGGAAAAGGTATGAATTATCATTTACTCTACAACCATGAAGCAGTGTTATAAAATTCGTATGTCAAAACAGGTGATCAACGATGTTCTAGGCAAAGAGGAAGTGAAGGTGACGTGGAATTTAGTAATTCGACTCACGGTGTTGCGCATAACATCAGCGCAGGTATGAGTATTAAAATACCCAACCTAGGTGAACAGCAGTCAGAATCCATGAAAACAGAAGCACGCAACAAAATTAATTTTACAGGGACATGTTGCATGTTGATGACGGAGGGTGCATGCGCATAACAATCCCGGGAGGCCGACAAGGTAGTTGTGAGAAATCGAGTCGGCGTTTTTTGGTGCAAAGTGGAGATAGATGATTGGGTTGCGTGCCGATACCCAAATACCACACCACAATCTTTTACGATAAAACGGAGGGGGGGGGGAGATGAGCGCAGGCACAGACCGATAACAGCGAAGGCTGGCAAAGATAGATCAGGGGAGTTTACCGTGTCTGCGGCACAAGTACAGTATCCAGGTAATGTTCGCTGTGTTTGTGCACACAGATGCTGGCTCTTTCGCGGAGCTGAGCAACTTGCCCGCAAACTTTTTGTCACCAATCGAGGCGATAATTTCAGTAGTAGTCGTAATGGCTTTGTTGGTAGGCAAGGAGCTGCAAGCAAATCCAAAGACGTACACCTCCATAGTAATCGAGATGCATAGGTCAATAAATCAAAGGCACTCAGGCATGAAAGGATCTAATTGGCGATGTTGTGGTATGAAGTATACGTTAACTGAATCCAGGCCGGTGCGCAGCAAAAGCGACTTTGTGAGGCATCCTGGGGGGCTACCAAATACGTAGTACCGAAGCCTGTCACTCGGTGGTTAGAAAAAGACATGCTCGAGTGACGCGCAGAAGCGCCATAGGAACTCGAACCGTCTATGTTGGCTAACTTGTTCTGGATAATAACTCCAAATAACAATTCTAATTTCTGTCTGTTCCTCATAAACAGTCTGTTCGCTTATTTTCACCATCTTTTGAATTTTATCATCATCCTACTTTTTCTGTGAAGTGGGTCAAAGCAACTATGATTCAAGGACCCAACTGAAATGAAACTTAAAAAGGCAAGCGTAGCACCAGCAATCCTGTACATGAGAAGTAGACGGATTATCATTCAACAAACTAATCAATGGTGTCGTCAGCTCGTCAGTACAGCGGTAAAATTTGATATGCTACACCTGAGAGATTTCGACAAGAACATCTTTTTGGTATTGCCTGCGGTGAACCATGCGGACCCATTAGCATAGCAAAGCGTATAGCAATGAAGCAATCTACAGGAGCACCAAGCACAGTATCAATAACGTATTGATGTTACGGCGCCCCGCCTAGATTGCTCATGTTCGCCAAACGGAAAAGACCAGAATACCGAAGCAGCAGTTGGACGATCAGTCGAGTGCAAGCAAATAGGATCAGTATTACTAAGACGCATTACAGTGGGTCCGTCGCGAACGGGTTGTGAGTTCAGGTACTAGGAAGAATTAACAGGCGAACAAAACAACGGCTGTCGCCCAAGCAAACAAAAAACATTTGACGGATGAACATAGAGGTCTGCAATGTGAGAGCAGATTCTGGTGAATAACGACCCATCATTAACACGGAGTTGCGATATATGTGGGGGGTCTCTCAGACGGTTAAACGGTTAGAATAAAAACGCCCTCGTGACGAGACAAAGGAAGCCAGTGAAGTTGAATCAAGCAAGAGCGCGGCTAAGAGGCGCAGAATCCATATTTACTTAGTAAGCACTGATACGTCCTGATTTGTCGCAGGAAATGAATCCGATTTAAACAACCAAAGGCAGGCTACTTACAGCGGCCTGCAAGGATTTAAATATCGAAAAAAAGTGATAAGCAGGAGAGTATCAATCTCTGAAAAGAAAATCGGGACGAGCAGGTGTTTCAACTGTGCACTAGAAACAAAGGCTGATTTTACCGCTGTGTGCTGCTAAAGTGCGCTTTTCTACCGAGTTTATACAGGTGGTAACCCTTAGTCAAGCATTCTCACAGAAAATACCATCAGCAAGACTACCAAGGGGAGTAGCTGTTACAGATGAAAACCAAGGAAAAAGGGGCCACGCAAATGCTTAGAAGCAAAACAAACCGAGAGCATGTGACGTTCACTCGCACAAAGGAAAATCAAAAATAAACCATTCAGTGAAGATTGTCCGATGCTGCGGAATTTTAACATACAAACCGAAGAACTAAATCAGTAGAATAGCACATTCCTTGAATGATGAGTGGTGCTGGGGTAAAGCCATAAACAATGAAATCACGTTTAATGCAAATAGGAGTGTTGTATGACCCGAAACCATGAATGAACAGGGAAGGTAATGTATTGACCTCAAACAAAAACACAACCGAGTAACGTGACCAACAGATCACGTGGAATTGATTGGTATGTAATTGGCGCGCATTGCGATAATACAGTATAAACTACAGCTGTTTTTGGACACCGTACGGAGGCCCATCACGATCAATACTACCAGATGCAATATGAATAGACAATGAGCGAAAAATGGCGCATATCAAGACGAAGTTGCTAATCACAGTTGATAAAATTTGGCGATCACTAACATTAAGACTCTAGGACAAACTTAAATTAGTCGTCAAAGATACCGGTAAATGGTGTAACAAACAAGGGAAATGTCTGTTGGCTGATCGTTGAGTTCTGTTATGGTCGGCAGAATTTGCCTCTGTCGGTTGTGAATGAAATGTCATTAGATGATTAATCAGTTTGTAGATGACGGGAAATCGCGAATACGTGTAGCAATAACGAGGGATATCCGATTCCAAGTTGGCAATTGTATGCAGCTACAGAAGCGTAAGGAATTGCACTAGTATTGCATCGTCTGCAGCACCGTCACCAGCAGACACATCTCTGAAGATTGGAACGCATGCAAACAGGAACCACAATAGTTTCAGAGGAGTGAAATAAGCAGTAGGAAGAGCCATGACAATGCCCAAAGACCGTATATGCCAGACGAAGCATAAATACATGCATGTTTTCTGAAGAAATGGCCAACGGAAGGTCGCTGTATGTTCACGGCTAAATCACTCGTGCAAACTTGGTGGAAGAACATACATAAACACCATGTGCAGAAGCTACGTTCGCTAGCGGCCATCAGCTCGTCTCCCGTGACTAAGCTTCTCGAGAGGTCGCTGTCCAAAGGCTAAGTGTCGAGCGACTGGAAATGTTCGATAGTAAGGCTGATTCATCATCATCATTACACATTAGCTGAAGGTGAGAAATACATTTCAACTATTGTACCACAACACATAAAGTTAAGACATATGAGAAAGCAAGATAAGGAAAAGAATGGAATGCGACAGATTACTTAGTAACATAGTATGCGTCAAGAGGGAGATCGCGGTTGGAGAGGGAAGATAAGCAGGATGTGAAAGGACAAAGGAACTCACAACACAAACCCCACTGAGGCCGGCTCCAAATCATATCCATAAGTGTGTGCAACCAAACGTGTTCATCGTTCTTAAGACCCCAACCAGGCAGTCGGGATGCACCAACCGACGCCAAATTCGAAGTGAGAGTTTTCATTTGGCTCGACCAGTTCATCGCATGGCCTCCCCTCTTCTTCTTCCAACCGCACCCCCGGGCGCGCAAACAACGCACGACGCGGGAGTCGGCATGCTGGCATACAAAACACGTGGCCCAGCCATCAAAGCCTGGTGAATGACATACCGGTGTTAAGCGGATCGCTTGTTATTCCTGCACCAAATACACGACGCCGAACATGTTAAATGCTCACGCGGTACTCCCACCAGACATGAACTAAGCTGTGAAGCCAGCGATGAACGAAAGTGACTAGCCTTTTTATATCTGTCGAATAGAAGAGCAGAGTTTCGCAACCATACCGTAGGGCTGAACGATCGGTTGCAGGGTGAGAGTGATAACGCGCAGGCGTTACAGGTGGCGGAGATAAGCAAAACATATTATGGCTATACAAGAGCGATACGTCCCTTAAACCTGAACTTCACAAAATAGTTATCTAGGAACTTCTGGAATTCCGATACCAGTTGCGCCTCGACTATTTTGTTCGGAATAATTCCCAATGTTGCACCAATTGACCTTCGAAGCA